GAGAGAGAGAGAGAGAGAGAGAGAGAGAGAGAGAGAGAGAGAGAGAGTTAGTTTAAGAAAGAGAGGGGAGAGAGATCATGTATATGCATGTCTGTGAAAGCCAGAGTTCAACCTCGGCGTGGCTTCTCAGGCACTGTGTGTGTTCACACGCATGTGTACACATACAATGGCACATGTGTCAGATGATAGCTTGGAAGAATTGGTCCCTCCTTAACCTTTCTGTCATTTCTGGGATGTCAGGCTTGTGTGACAAGGCCTTTACCCCCTTGAGCCATCCCCCTGCTCCGACTCAGTGAGATCTTTTGGACCTAGATTCTTCCCTGTCAGATGTGCCCTAAGCAAGATCTGAGATCACCTTCCTTGGATGGCGCAGGAACAGACAGTTGACATGATTGTCCGGGTGTATGCACCTCTGAGACTCCTACCAGTGCCTGGTAGAGAGCCTTGCTTACCTGAGTAGTGGTATCAGCGTGGCCGTGGTTTTCTACTGGACTAGTTTGACATCTATGTTTCAAAAGGAAATGAGTGTATGTCATCCCAGCAGTCCTTGGACATATACCCAAGCAAGCGGAAGCAGAGGAACACTTGTACTCCAGTATTCAAAGCGGGATCATTTTTATTAGCACAATGCATTCGATAGTATTTACTCCCTCTCCTAACTCCTTCTAGACCACCCCTACTTCCCTACCCCCCCAACTTTGCACCTTTTTTTTTTTTTAATAAAACCTCTCAAGTACACATACAGTTTGTGCTATCCATATACTTCTGGATACATGGCTTACATTGGAGGCAGATCAACCATCCAGGGGTCACACCCTTAAAGAAAACTCTCGACTATCAATGGCCAATTCCTCCTTAGGTAGGGGAGGGACTTCATGCCCACCTCTCCTCTCCATGTTGGGATTCTACCTGACCTGAGTCTGCACAGGTCTGGCTCATGATTTTTAAAATGTTCTTAGTTTATACATGCAGCTTCCCTGCTGCATCCAAGAAACAGTTTCCTTACAGTCAGCCATTACCTATGACTCTTACAATCTTCCTGTCCCCTCTTCCACCATGATCCTCGAACCTTGGGAGGAAAGGATGTGGTATAGGTGTCCCATTTAGGACCGAACATTCTGTAGTCTCCTGTTCATTTCTCCCTGGTCAGTTGTGGGTCTCTGTGGTAACCAACATCTACTGCAAAGAGGCTTCTCTGATGAGAGTTCTGATACTAATCTATTGGTATAGCAAAAGCCGTTAGGAGTCAGTTTAATATTATGTGCATTTAGCAGAGTGATAGTAGCAAATTCTTTCCTAGGGCCCCGTGGTCCATCTAGTCACAGGTTCTTGGCCCCAGTAATGGTTCTAGGTACTTGTTGAATGGGCCTGGACTCGAATGAGAAAGTGGTTGGTTATTCCCATATTTGTGCCACTATTACACCAATGGGCGAGTGTTGTTAAGCAACAGGTCATTATCTTAACTCAGAGTGTTCACAGTCCGGTAAGATTGATGACTCCTTTCATCCCAGGTTAGTGTCCATAGCACCTTCCAGCACTGTGGAAGATAGCCAGTAGGGATGAAACTTCTTCCAGGTTAGTGCCAACCTGGTATCTCCATATTCTATGACTCAAGCATATGGTGTCTTCAGCATGGCATCATCGTTTTAAAAAAATAGATTAGACTTCTGAGGAGTTTCCATTTGAAGATTTATGTTTTTACATTTTGCTTTTATCCATTTGTATGTACATGTCTGCCACGTGCATGCTCATATCCACAGTGGTCAGAAGAAGGTATGGATCCCCTGGAACTAGAATTTTAGTTGGATATAGGTTTTCTGATGTGGGTGTTAGGAGCTTGGATCCTCTGCAAGAACAATACATGCTCTTAACCAGTGTGTCACATCTCCAGCCCCAAAGTGGCATAATTTTGAAAAATAGCTCAAACATCTATTTCCATGGCTCTAGGAGTGTCATTCAGAGCGTCACACAATGCAAGCGAGGCTGTACCACTGAGTTACAAAGCCCCAGAGCTTTGATTTTAGGCAAATGAAGTCTACACTGAGTCAGGTTTGTCAAACCCAGTGGAAATCATTGCTTATTTATTTATTTTGAGATAGGGTCTCAAGCTATGCAGCCCAGTTTTGCTTTAAACTCACTGAGATATTCCTGCCTCAGTTTCTTGAAAGTTTGGGGTTACAGTCATGGGTCACCTGGGTACTTGCATTAATAAGTGCCCACACAGCATCCTTTGATTACTCAAGGTCCCAGGCTGGTCCCTCTGGAAACCTGGAGGTACCCTGTTAGTTTCCAGACCTGGGCCACTCTTACTTACTAAGGGATTCTCAGAGGTCATTACCAGTCACACAGAGATCTCGCTTGTATTCTTTGTAGAGGAATACTTCCAGCACTGGCTGTGCCCAGTGGGAGCTCAGAGGGCTTGAGGGGAAAAAAATAGCCAACAGAAGAGGGAAATGAATTCTGGTACCAGACAAGGGCATACAATGGATGCTATTGGAGAACAGGAATCCCACAGAGGAGAGGAGGGTGGGGTGCCCGTGTCTACAATGGATGGAGCAGCATGAATCAGCCACTGTAGCTGGAATGGAGTGTGTCAGGGTGTCAGGGAGTCCTGGGCCCTACATGATAATGTAGACTTTAAATACCACTGCCCACAGCTTAGATTTCCAGTTGCCCACAGGCTACATTTCTTATGAATAGTGTTGGTTCTCAAGAGAGGTGCTTTTTCTTTATGGAGTTGGGGGCGGTGAATAGTGAAAAACACTGAATGTTTTTTTAAAAAAAATATATGGTAAAATGTGCATAACAGAAATGACCACTTTGAGCTGAAACAGTTGCACACGACTGTAATCCAGCTCCTAGAAGGTTTAGAGTGAATTTGAGGCTGATCTGAGCTACAGAGTAGAATCCTGTCTAAGCATGGTCGTGTGCATGTACACACACACACACACACACACACACACACACACACACACGGGGCGGGGGACACACAGAGGGGCTGGATCCATGGATGGTTTAGTGGTTAAGAGTGAGCACTGTACTTGTAGAGGGTCCAAATTTGATTCCCAATACCCACATCAGACAGTTCACAACCTCCTGTATCTCCATCTCTTGAAGCCTCTGGCCTCTGTGGGCACTTGCACTCTTGAGCACATACCTACACACAGATTCACATACATGCACATAGTTAAAAATAAGAAAAAGTTTTGAAAAACTGAGGAAAGGAAGATGGCCATTTTAAGCATTTAAGTGAACATAGTTGAAGGGCTTTAAGCGTATAGACAGCATTGCACCGGAACCTTGACCGTTTCCTTATCCCAGATTGACTCTTTACCTATTAAGCCATCCTTCCAACCCCAGGAAAAAACTGTCAGCTTTCTGTCTATATCAGTTTGACTACTGTCCTTTCGTGACTGATTTAATTTGCTTATTGTGGCATCCCTGAGGGTCACCCATGTTGCAGCCCACATCAAAGTTCTCCTTGGCCTTTATTGCTGGAAAATATTCCATTATGTGACTATTCTACATTACATGGTGTGGGTGAGTCCATGGGCTTACCAGCCCATCTGTCCCTGGACTCTTGGTTCCCATTTCTTGGCTGTGGAGACCTGATTGATTCATTCTTTTTTCTATGTATGTGGTCCTGGACCCAGGGTCTCCCGCCTAACGCTAAGCAAGTGTTCTTTATTGAGCTTCATCTGAAGCCTCTTATTTGTTCTTTTTATTTATTTCTTCCGACAGTGTCTTTCCCTACATATCCTGGCTGTCCTGGAACTCACAGAGATCTATCTTGCTCTGCTTCTGGAATGCAGGGATCTTATTTGTTCTTTAAAACAGGATATTTAGACCTGAGCAACAAGGGGGTCTCTGGGCAGCAGGAAGTATAAAAAGGACTTGGGAAGGGAGACAAGGAGTCCTATGAGGTCATATTTGTAGAAAAGGGTCTTGGGTCGGAAGTGGCTGGGAAGAGGTCCAGAGCAGGAACCTGAAGATAGCTGGCCCAAGGAGAAAGGGTAACAGTAGGCCTCTCACTTCATGAAGTTGGTCTTATTTCCAGGCAGGGGTTTAGGGCTAGAGTGACAGCCAGCTAAGGGGCCAGCCACTGTGGGAGGACAACTACCCACCCACACAGACCTGTGTGGTCTGTGACTACTGTGACTACTCCTCCAACCTGGGGATGAGACAAGTGACTTGGAAGTAGAAGCTTGAGGTGAGACCACACCCACTTCACATCTGCATATCGGGTGGAAAGCAGCTTTTAAAGATAGACACAAGGCAAGCAGGAAGGTGAGGGGGTTGCCAGGACTGTGTATGGCAGAGACACCAGGATGGTGACCACTGGGAAGGTTCATCAGCGAGTGTAGCTTTTGTCAGGTTTCAGAACAAGATATATTCCCAAAGGCTAATATTTGGAAGTGTTGGGTCCAGGTTAGTTGACTGAAAATGAAGGCGATAAAAGACGTGGAAGTCAATATGTTTGAATGAGGTCCATTTTAGCTAAAAGTGAGATCTCTTCTGATGAGGTGGCCTGAAGGGTCCTGATAAGGTGGCCTTTCGATGGGGTGGGGGGGTCCCTTCTGAATAGGTAGCCTCCAGGGGTACCTTATGGTGAAACCAAAGGTGTTACACATGGGAAAGTAACCCATGCCATTTTGTCCTGACCTTGCCTCCTTGGACCATGCAGGTATGATGCCGGCAGGGACGGCTTTATCGACCTGATGGAGCTGAAACTCATGATGGAGAAACTAGGGGCCCCTCAGACACACCTGGGCCTGAAAAGAATGATAAAGGAGGTGGATGAAGACTTCGACGGCAAGCTCAGCTTCCGGGAGGTACCTATGGCTTGTCGAGTCCGAGAAGACACCCCCCCTACCCCACACCTCACCCCCACCCCCTTGCCCTCAGCTACTGAGTAAGGTTGGGTTTGCCACTTGGGAGTGCTCTCTGGTTGGATATTTAGTGTTAAACTTAGCTTTTAGGCATATGTTTTATAAACTGTGTGGGTGGCATCTTCCTATAATCCCAATTCTTGAGAGCTATAGGAGGAACATGAGTTCAAGGCTAGCATCCGCTACATTGTGAATTACATGCGACCCTGTCTCCAAAACATGTCTTTTGTGATAGCTTATGTCTGTAATCCCAGTATATGAAGGTTGAGACAGGAGGATTGCTATGAGTTTCTGCCTGTGGGCCACTATGCCCGAATTCTTACATACTTTTTCTTTTTTTCTTTTTGGTGTACACGGGTTTTTTTTTTTTTTTTTTTTTAAAGATTTATTTATTTTTATATATGAGTACACTGTAGCTGTCTTCAGACACACCAGAAGAGGGCATCAGATCTCATTACAGATGGTTGTGAGCCACCATGTGGTTGCTGGGATTTGAACTCAGAACCTCTGGAAGTGCAGTCAGTGCTCTTAACCACTGAGCCATCTCTCCAGCCCCTGTACACGGGTTTTATTGGAAGGCTTTGGAAGGTTTCAGTCACAATGCCATATAACTTGTGGCAGAATCTTAATGGCAGGATGGTAGAATTGGGCCATCTTCTGTTGTCCCGTTATAGGTTCTGAATCAGCTGAGCCCTTGGGATCAAGAGCCATCTCTTCAGTTTTCTTTCTCCTGTGTTATCCGGGGGCCACCCATAGGTGATTCAGCTGAGTCTAGGCTACTTGGCTGTCTTTTGGTTAGCTTCCAGTGTGGCCTTTACTCACAGAAGTGGGCATCCAAGGCTTGGAGACCTCCAAAGCAATTTTGTCAGTTCTTGGCTCATTTAAGAGGCTCCAGTGACATTGACATCAGTCTTTTGTGAGCTCCAAGCCTTGTCTTGGACTCATTTCTAGGTTATCCCCAGTATGTGGACTTGGAAGAATAAGGATGTATGGCCATCTAGACCTCACAGGCCACACCCTGCTCTGTGATTTTATGTTGCTACGTTACCCATGGCCAAGCCACCTAGGCTTGCAGTCAGACTTCAAGCTGACAGAGCAGGACTGTGCATCTTGATGCAAGTTCTTCTCTTCTAGAGACAGAAGAATCTCTCTCGGCTGGCTTCAGCTATATAGATCTTTATGCTTTAGCTTCCCATGTGCTGGAACATGTAGGCTTATACCAGCATGCCTGGCCACCCTGGAGTTCTTTTTGCTCTTTTGAGACAGAGTATCATTCTTTTGTATATACTAGCCTTGAACTCACTGTGTAGCACAGTCTGGCTTTCAACACATAGAAATCTTCCTGCCTTAGCTGGAAATTATAGGCACGTACTAACTACATAGTCTGTTGGTTCAATCTCTCCCTCTCCCTCTCCCTCTCCCTCTCCCTCTCCCTCTCCCTCTCTGTGTGTGTATGTGTGTGTGTGTGTGTGTGTGTGTGTGTGTGTGTGTGTGTTTGGGGTGAGGAGAGTTAAGACGTGTCTTAACCACTTTTAAAAATTACTCTAGGCCAGGCAGTGGTGGCACACACCTTTAATCCCAGCACTTGGGAGGCAGAGGTAGGCAGATTTCTGAGTTCGAGGCCAGCCTGGTCTACAGAGTGAGTTCCAGGACAGCCAGGGCTATACAGAGAAACCCTGTCTCGAAAAACCAAAAAAAAAATAAATAAATAAATTACTCTATGTGCATGAATGTTTCATCTGTGTGTATGTCTGTGACCTGTGTGCATGGTACCTTGGAGGCCAGAAGAGATCATCAGATCTGGAACTGGAATTATAAATGGTAGTGAGCTGCCATGTGGGAGCTGAGACTCAAACCTGGGTCCTCTACAAGAGCAGCAAATGCTGTTAACTGTGGAAGCCATCATTACAGCTCTGAAGACACAGTTTTACAGAGCGCAGGCTGTCTTCATACCATGTAGCTGAGTGACCTAAACCTCCCCACCTCCTCGCCCCTCCCTCGTAAGTGCTGGGATCACAGACATGCACCGTCACACCCAGCTTTACGCTTGGAGATTCTTTTTAACTTTTTTTTTTTTTTTACCTTATGTATTGTATGGAACACACATGCCTCCATGCTTGTGTGGAGGTCAGAGGATGATTTGGATGTCCTTTTGTGTCAGTCCAGGGCTTGAACTCTGGCTGTCCATCTTGGCAGTAGGCATCTCTACCTTTGGAGCCATCTTGTCAGCCATGGGTTCTTGACACATCCTTTCCTACAGTGAGTTAACTCCCTTGTCCTACTAAGAAATGTACTGCTGCCCTCTACAAATGAAGAGCTCTAACTGTGTTTATACACCTCTAGCCACAGTCGTGTGAAGTTAGGAATTCCCTCGCTCAGGTCAAGCATCGGTGGGCCTGTGGGGGAAGGAGCTTCTGAACTCCCTCTGCCCTCTGTCTTTGTTCTCTACCTCTCCTTCTCTCCCCCTGTCCCCAGAGTCACAGCTCAGACGTTTTCCAACTGGACACCATGCCAGTCTTTGTGGACTGTAAATAGAAAAACAAATAAGGTCGTCGGGCTGTGAGGGAGATTGACATTCAGGGCAGCGAGGGACTATGATGGGTGAAATGGGAGTGCCTGGTATGCTGGATACGCTTGGGTTGAACTGGATTTCCTCTCTCTCTCTCTCTCTCTCTCTCTCTCTCTCTCTCTCTCTCTCTCTCTCTCTCTTCCTCCCTCCCTCCTTCCCTCCCTCCCTCCCTTCCATCTTTCCTTTCTTCTTTCCTTTTCTTCCTTCCTTCCTCCCCTCCTTTGGCTGGCTGGCTTTTTTTGACTGTCTGGCTAGGGTTGGGAGACCCTGAGTTATGATGGGGATGCTATGGTCATCTGTTGAACTGGCAGAGCAAACTTGTACAGCCTTGAACCTCAGGCCTCAGAGCAAAGAGTGCTGAGAAAGAGCAGAGGGGATTTGCTAATGTTTCAGGCATACGATGCCCTTCTGTGAATGCCAACGCTGTCATTTCCACCTGAGCCTACTTAAAATTATGTTGTATTTATTTGTTTTGTGTGGAGGAAAGGGGTACATGAATGCCACAGCACACCTGTGAAGGTCAGAGGTTAACTCCCATCACATGGACCCTGAGGATCAAATCAGGCTGTCAGGCTGGATGACACACTCTGAACCATCCACTTAGCCCTCCTTCCTCTTTAGAGGTCAGGAAACCGAGCCCTGGGGAATGGAGAGCCCCTGGATGCTCAGCTGGGGCAACACTCCTTTTTTCTGAGTGGGCTCCCTGGGCCCCTCAAAAGTGTTACTAAGGAAGGCAGCTCTTCCTGGGGACCTCTAGTAGATGAAGTCCTTTAAGGGTGGCTACATGTTCAGCTTGATTTCGGTTGCAATAACAGAATGTCCCAGCCCCAGCCTGGATAGTTTAGAAAGGAAAGAAGTTTGTTTTGCCCTGGGAGTTCAAGGGCAAGGCCCTGACCTCTCCAAGGCCCCGAGTTCTGCAAAGCTCTGAAGGTCACGTGCTGCTTGAGCTTGGGTGGAAAGCACAGGGTAAGCGTGGACAAGAGAGCCTCACGGCGAGAGAAGGACAGGAGACAACGGAGCTCCCTTCATGACATGCAGCCCTTGGAAAACATCCTCCCCCTCAGTGGCCTGGTTGCCTTCTTAAGGCAACCACCTTTCGACACTTTTGGACTAAGGACCAAGCATCATAGGGGCAGGCATCTCCTGCACCCCACAGCTCACATCTGCAACACTGAAGTCTCAACCACACCCATGTCTTTCATGAGAGTGGAGAGAATCAAGAGAAATGCAGAGTCCACCATTGGCCCTACCCTCCTGGCCTCTGTCCTGTCACTGGGGGCCTGGCCTCTTTCGACTGGCTTGTTTTTCCAACCAATGTGCTAACGCTAAGAACTGCTGCAAACTGAGTCTTTGCCGGCCTCTAGTGAGAGAGTTGGAAGCTGCAGGCGGGAGACGGTGGTATTTCTTTTAATCCAGACAGCTCCAGGGACCTCAGAGAAGCCACAAGACCCTGCAAATGTCATTCCATCTCTTTGATTAGTAATTCCCCAGTGTCCACAGCAGAGTGATGGCTGAGTAAGAAGCAGAGAGCAGGGAGTTCCAGCCTTGGGAGCTAAGACACTGGAGTTGGGATTTGGGAAGCCTGTTGAAGTGGTGACTGCCTTTCTAACATTCTTCCTACGTATGTGCTTTCAGTAGACCTGAAAACCTGGAGAAACCTCTTCTGGTGGTTTGGGTCCATCTATTTGTAAGTGGAGGATGGTGGTATTCATAGAACCTGCACAGTGCTCATTTAGGCTGATACATTTGTAATTTTTAAAAATGTGTTTATTTAGCCGGGCGGTGGTGGTGCACACCTGTAATCCCAGCACTTGGGAGGCAGAGGCAGGTGGATTTCTGAGTTCGAGGCTAGCCTGGTCTACAGAGTGAGTTCCAGGACAGCCAGGGCTATACAGAGAAACCCTCTCTCGAACCCCCCCCCCCAAAAAAGTGTTTATTTCATGTGTATAAGTTTTGCCTCCATGTGTGTATGCATATCATGTGCATGCCCAGTGCTCAGAGGCCACAAAGAGGGTATCAGATTCCCTAGAAGTAGAGTTAGGGATGGTTTGTGGGCCACTGTGTGGGTGCTGGGGAAGAACCAGAGTGCTATTACCCACAGATCCATCCCTCCACTGTCCCCTCTTCCCAGCTTGTAGCTTTTTGTGGGGGCAAACCCTGACAACCTGCATTCAATCTCTGGGACCTACATGGTAGAAGAGAGCCAACAGAATTGTCCTCTGACCACCATGGCATGCACGTATACAAGGTGAATAATTCATAGGGTGTTTTGGTTTTGTTTTGTTTTGGGCTAGATTTTCACACCATGGCCCACACTGGCCTGAAGCTATTGGCAGTCTCCCTACTGCAGCCTTCTGATGCTGATGTCATATGCATGAGGCACCATGCTAGCTTTATAAAAAATTATAGAGAAGGGAATCAAATAACCGGAGAGTAACCCTGGGAGAGGAGGCTAGGAGAGGAGGGACTGTAGCTTAAGAATTTACTCTGCAGAGTCCCTAACAAAGCTGCCCTTAAAGATTACTTCATTTAGCTTACATATTTTGAATGTGAAGATGGTGGTGGGTTACACAATAAATGTGGGGCTTACTGAATAACTATTTGGAAGAAAAATAAGGTTAATGATTAACCTACCAATAGAACAGAATACATTTCAGGGATTAAATATTTACATGTTTTTTTTTAAAGCTATAAAAATGCTAGACAGAAACTGTTTATGTAACCTTGGTGTTAGGGAACATTTTTCTAGGCCTGTCTCTGGTAAGAGGAAAGGAAAAGATTTGACAGACTTTGTAAAAATTTTTGGAGTCAAAAGATACCATAAAGAAGCCAGGAATTTGTGACACACACTGGTGGTCCCAACTCATTCCGGAGGCCGACACTGGAGTATCAGTGGTGACCTGCTACATAGCAAGACCTTCTCATCTCCAAAATTAATAAGCAGAGCCAGTGTGGTGTCGAGCGCCTTTAATCCTAGCACTCAGGAGGCCGAGGTAGGTAGGTCTCTGTGAGTTTGAGGCCAGCTGAGTTTACAGAGTGAGTTCCAGGACAGCCAGGGCATTAAGGAGGGACTCTCTGTCTCAGGAAACAAAATAATAAACAGGGCTGATGAGGCAGCTCAGTAGGTAAAGACAACTGATGCCAAGCCTGCCCAGCTGAATTCAATCCCACGGCCCCACACAATGGAAGGAGAGAACTGACACTTGCAAGCTGTCCTCTGACCTCCACATGTGTGTTCTGGCATGTGTGTAAGCCAACAAAATAGCCATAGACCAGCACGATCAAATGACACTCAGCAGAGCTAACATGATTTAAACTTACTAAGGCATACAAAGATCTCTTAGTAAACCACAAGAAAGGTCAGCAGTCTCATGCATACACAGAACACATGAGAAAAAATAGAAGTGGCTAAGAGATATGAAAAAGGGGGTTGGGGTGGGGGACAGTGAGATGGCTCAGTGAGTAAAGGACAAACCTGACAGCCTGAGACTAATCTCAGGGACTCACATGAAGAAGAGAATCAACTCTACAGTTGACCTCTGACCTCCACATGTGTGCCATGGTGTACACACACACACACACACACACACACGCACGCACAAAGTAAATAAATAATTTTTAATATAAAAAATTTAACATGAAAAAATTACCTTGGGGCTGGTAAAAGTCTATAATCTCAGCACTTGGGAGGCAGAGGCAGGTGGATCTTTGTGAGCTCGAGACCATTTACATACCTCTAAAAACAACATAAACAACCAAAAATATAATTAAATTATTTAATGAAAAAATAATGTATCAGGGCTGAAGAAATGGCTGAATAGAGCGGTAGTTCTCAACCTGGGTTATCGACACCTTGGGGGTTGCATATAGATATCCTGCATATCAGATATTTATATTACAGTTCATAACAGTAGCAAAATTACAGTTATGAAGTAGCAAGGAGGATAATTTTATGGTTGGGAGTGACCACAGGATGAGGACCTGTATTAAACGGTCACAGCATTAAGAAGGTTGAGAACCGCTGGGATTGAGGCTCCAGCTGTCCTAGCTGCAAGCCCAATGCCAGAAGTTTAATCCCCGGAACATGTGTAGATAGCCGGGTGTATTAGCACACGTCTGTAATGCCAGCACGCCTACAGGAGAATCAATGAGTAGGTGGAGGGCCAGGTAGCCTTGAGCAGACAGCAGCAACAGAAACAAGATAGACTCTGCCTCAGTAAGGTGGAAGGCAAGAACGGATGCTGGACACCAGGCGGTGGTGGCGCACGCCTGTAATCCCAGCACTTGGGAGGCAGAGGCAGGCAGATTTCTGAGTTCGAGGCCAGCCTGGTCTACAGAGTGAGTTCCAGGACAGCCAGGACTACACAGAGAAACCCTGTCTCGAAAACAAACAAACAAAAGAAAAAACAAAAAAAAAACAACAAAAAAAGAACTGATGCCGGAGAGTTGACCTCTGCCCTCCACACATGTGCTATGGAATGTGCGTGCCTATACTCATATACCCAATAAATAAATAAGTGCATAGTTAATTAATTAATTAATTAATTAATGTGAGCTAGGCATATGCCTTCAATCCCAACAGTCAGGAGATAGAGACAGGAGACAGAGATAGGCAGGCAGATTTTTATAACTTCAAAGCCTTTCTGGTCTATATAGCCAGGTCTAGCCCAGCCAAGGCTACACAGTGAGACCTTGCCTTAAAGAAATAAATACAAGCAAATAAGTACATGTTAGATTATAAGCCTACCCCATCATATCTAGTTTATGCAGTACTTACTTGGGATTGAACCCAGGCTTTCTCCCAACCGGGCTACTCTGCAATCCTACTGTGTGGGTTTTTTGAGGGATAGCTTCCCAACAGTGGCATTAATGGATGGAGGAGAGAATTTATATTTAACTCAATGAGTTTATTTGGTGCTGGAGATTGGACTCAGATCCTTACACGTAGTAAGTATATGCTTTTCTACTGACCTATGCCCTTAACTCCATGTTTTTGCTTATGATGACCTGGTAACAGACAAAACACTTCTCTACCTATATACAGACATAACGTCCTTTTCCAGGCTGGAGAGATGGCTAAGAGTGCTTGATGCTCTAGCAGGAGATCCGAGTTTGGTTCCTAGTACCCATATCAGGCAGCTTACAACTGCCAGGAACTCCAGCTCAAGGAGTTCCAATGCCCTCTTCTGAAGTTCATGGACACCTGCACCCACACACACATCCTCCCCCCCCATACACGTTTAGTTAAAAAAAAATACATTTTAAAAACTCACCTCTTTTTTCTTCTCTTCCTTCTTTCGTTTGTTTTTGTTTTTCTTTGTTTGCTTTGTTTTTTGAGATAGGATTTCTCTGTTTGAAACAGCCCTGGCTATCCTGGAACTCACTCTCTAGACCAGGCTGGCCTCGAACTCACAGAGATCCTCCTGCCTCTGCCTCCCTAGTGCTGGGATTAAAGCCAGGCACCACCACTACCCTGCAGAAACCCGCCCTTTTCAAATGCTTGGGCAGAATGTCATTTACTCAGGCTGGAGAGATTGTTATGGATGTTTCGGTGACAGAATAGTAAAACAGTAAGAGCCCTTTTGTCCTTCTCTCTCCCACAGTTCCTGCTCATTTTCCACAAGGCCGCTGCTGGTGAGCTGCAGGAGGACAGCGGGCTGCTGGCACTGGCCAAGTTTTCTGAGATTGATGTTGCCCTGGAGGGTGTCAGAGGCGCCAAGAACTTCTTCGAAGCCAAGGTGAGTACCTGTTCCCTTTCCTACCCTGCCACCATGCTTCCTTGACCCCGCCCTTGTGATAGGCACTTCCTATCCATTGGACCCATTAGCTCCCTCAGGACAAGGAAGGCTGTATAATCCATGCAGGTACTGAGGGGTGAGAAGAGTATATCCTCAGACCATCTGGGAAACAGACACAGTATAGAAGACACCTGCTCACAGGCTCCGGAGGGTTGGTGGGTTTCAGGCTCCAAGACATACTCTCCATCTGGACTTTGCCTAAGGGTTCCTTTCTATCTCCACAACCACTTAAGTTGCTTCTGCAGCTTGCCCACCCACTGTTTTATTTTTCACATCTTAAACATCTGTGGCAGAGGGCTAGGAAGACGCTGCTCCTGCAGTGCACTGGAGGCTGGTTCCTAGCACCTATATTAGGAGCTCCCAATTCTTCCTAATTCCAGATCCAGGGAATCTGACACCCTCTTCTGGCCTCCGTGGACACACACACACACACACACACACACACACACTTTAAAATAAATGTTGTTAAACATAAATTTTAAAAGTAATATATGGGCCAGAGACAAGCAGGAGAGGGGTCAGAGAAGGGTGCCAGGGTGGCCTGCCCCACATCAGTGTTTGCTTCATTGAAAGTGATCCAGAAGTGGGAAGGCCCCACAGCCCTGTGAGTTCACAGTCACTGAAAACCAAGGCACCTCCTTAAAGTTAGCTGCTGCATCCTTGTCTCTGCCGAGCATACCTGTAGATACACAGACAAGAGAGCCCTCCACACCTGCCGCCAAGCAGGGCAAGGGTACAGTGAGATGGTCACATGTTCCCTACAGGTTGGTCCCCCAAGAGCACATCTGACTCTTGCGCTCATATGGTCACTCTGATCCTGTTTCCAGTACCACACAGGATTAAATGAGCTTATATATATAGTGTTAAGCAATTGCCTGGCTTGTGGGAAGCAGCCAGCATGTCATCCTAGCTTTTGGGACTGCATGCTTCTTCAGTTTTCAGCCTCAGGGGCACTTTGAATTCCTTCCAGGAGTTTATCCAAGGCCAGAATGACCTTGGTGACATCCTGGCCTGCTTAGAGCTCAAAACAGGACCCAATTCTCACTTGTCTTTGATGCTGCTCGGGGATAGACTCTGCTGGCAAAGATCAGCCAGTGCATTGACTTTTGAAACTCAGGAAAAGGGGACAGAACATTTGCCTTCTTTAGGGGCCCTGCAGAGTACGGGGAGGAAAGCCAATGACTCCTTGTCGCAGGGTGTGGAGATGAGGAGGGGTCCCTTCTACTGTGACGGAGCCTCTCTGGCCATCAGCTCCACGTTTGCAATCTCTTGAGAGTTCTTGGGAAGGGGCTGAGGCCTGAGGCCCGAGAGTAGCAGGACACTTCACGGCCATGGTGCACTGGGCCAAGTGCTATGGGTGAAACACGTGAGTCCCTGTGACTGTGTCATCTAGGCATGCAGGACCAGTCGTGACTTGCCTGTGATTCCCACTCCAGCCTCATCCAGTCCTTGAGATGTTGCTAGAAATGTTCACTGCCAATTCTCAGAACCTTTTGCCTAGAGGGCCACCCCAAGGCCTCTGTTTGGAAAACCCTGCTCCCTTTGGGATCACCTTCTAGGGCAGCTCACTCATGGCTAACCAGTCCTGAAAAGGCTCCACTCCCGAGTGCCTGTATTCCATGTGTAAACGGCAGTTCTGTATCTGCTCAGAGTGTTCTCAAAAGCCGGGCGGTGGTGGCGCACGCCTTTAATCCCAGCACCTGGGAGGCAGAGGCAGGCGGATTTCTGAGTTCGAGGCCAGCCTGGTCTACAGAGTGAGTTCCAGGACAGTCAGGGCTACACAGAGAAACGCTGTCTCGAAAAACAAAAACAAACAAACAAACAAAAAACCCCCAAACAAACAGAGTGCTCTCAGACACTTGCAGGAAGAGTATTCATTGACCTGTCTGCAGAGCAGTTAATATTCTACCTTTGGAATGTCTCTCAATGTGCTTGGGCTCCTGGCAGGGATTTTCCTATAATGCTGCTGAGGTAGAAGGAAACTGGACACAACCTAAACTTCCATTGTCAGAGAGACATGCGTTTGCTTACTCTGCAGCCATCAAAGATTGAGACGAAGCTGCATGATACGTGTAGTCAGACGTCCAAAATAAAACAAGCAAAATAATATGTGTGACACTTGGTTTTAAATACCAAACGCAGCCTAGATAATTACATATGAAAGTATTATCAGTAGTAGTTACGTCAAGGGACTCATTTTATATTTTCAGGGTGTCGTAGAATTAGTGTGCTTTGTTTTTATAAGGAGAAGAGATGAAACAAAAAAAAAAACCAATAAACTTTTTCCTACTCGCCATGTTTATATGTCTGCCTTCCCAGCAAGACTCAAAGGCAGGATAGGCGTGTTATCTTTGTAATTACAGTGTCCGGTGTGTAATGGCTCTCAATAAACGTTTTGCATGAATGACGAATGGAGGGAAGCACTGCTTGGATTTGGGAGAGGCCATAAAGGAGAGTGACAGATGTCCCAAGATGAATGGGGATTCACCTTGTAATCAAGGAAGGGAGGCGTTCTGGTCATGGGAACTGCAAGTGCAGGCTCTAAGGGGTGGAGGGCTAGGAGTCTGGAGGCTGGGAGAAGATGGGAGTGTGTGAGCAGGCAGGGCTGGCACCATAGCTGGGAAAGCAAGTCAAGGTGCAAGTATGCAGACCTAGGAACGGGGCCACACTTCTCCCTCTTTGTCATGAGGTAGGTGACTACTGAGAGCAGATGGTCCCTGGATGTAATCCCCAGGCTGAGAGGACACCTGTAGACTGGCCTTCCAGGCCCAACCCATGTCTCTCTAAAAGCTTTTTGGGTGTGTGGGGAGGCTGAGTTGTCAGGAAACCTGTGGCTGATCCAGCGCTGCAGGTGGCTTCATGTGCAGCCAGGCTGGTCTAGCACACACAACTGCAGGGGCTGGAGTGCCCTCAGAGTTGTTTATGCAGGTCTGACCTAGGATACATACGCTAGGAGAGGTTTCTGCAGGTGCATGGGGAGGGATATTGGTTGTCAAATATTTGTGACAGTGGAACCAGGGACAATATAAAGACACACAACTTTAGAACTGCAGTGCTCACGACTACCTTATTGGGAACTTGGGAAGACCAATAGGAAGTGTGCATTGAGGAGGAGAGCTGAGATTTTTTTTTTCTTCTATCAAGACAGCCCCTCCTCCAAGTGGGAGTGGTTTGAGGAGGGGAAGTGATAAACTGGCCTTTGGTGTCAAGTTCAAGGTAACTTCAGGTTCAGTAGAGATATGCACCAATTTGGTGGGTATGGTGATGGCTGCAAGTGGTCCTCCAATCATGGCCACATGGAGGCTATAAAACTGTGTCTGTCTTGGACATCTGTGTGTCTTGTGTATGAATAGATCATGAAGCAGTTCTTGCGTTTTCTGTACCCGCCCTTAGCAATGGCTGGAACATAGCTGTCCTCGTATGGGACCAGGGGTGGGCTCAGACTCCACATGCCAGGTGAGCTTCCCACAGGAAGGATGAAGGAGGAAATAGGATTTATGGGCACCCAGGAACACAAAGGATGATGGGTGCCATCACCCCAAGCACATGCTGAGCCAGCAGGAAAGTAGATCTTAGTGGGAACTGGACTGTGGGTAAGAGTTGTATTTAAGTCTTCAGGGAAGATGGGTCATCAGAGGCACAGAAGAATGCTGGAGAAAAATGCTACTTTGCTGGACAAAAGCAGTTTGGGTTTTTAAATTCTCATTTTAATTTTTTGTTAGTTATGTGTATGGATAGGTCTGTGTTGGGGGTATGGGGCTATCTATGACTGCAGGTGCCCAGAGAAGTAAGAGCTGTCAGATGTCTCTGGACTCAGAGGTGGCTTTGAGCCTCTTGGTGTGGGTGCTGGGAATTGAACTTAGGTCCATCTGGAAGAGAACAGTGTGTGTGCTCCTAACCTCTGAGCCATCTCTCCATCCCTAGCAATTCTGTTTTTCCACCATGTGGGTCCTATGGATGGAACACAGGTTGTCAAATTTGGCAGCAAGCTACCTGGCCAGCCCTCAGTAGAGATGCTTAAGGGATCAAATTCATCCCTGTTGGACTGATTGCGCTAGGATAGGACTAGAATGGACCTGGTAGGTAGAGCCCTGAGAGCCAACTCTCTATTGCACATACCTGGGCAGGTGAGACAGTAGCTTGGGGTTAGGTAAAAAACATTTTTGCTTACTTTGCAGCCTCTGAGAGAGGTCAGCATGTGATCACATCAGGGGGAAGTTATCTAGGAAATGAAGAAATAAAAAGTGAGATGACTGCCGGGCAGTGGTGGCGCACGCCTTTAATCCCAGCACTTGGGAGGCAGAGGCAGGCGGATTTCTGAGTTCGAGGCCAGCCTGGTCTACAGAGTGAGTTCCAGGACAGCCAGGACTACACAGAGAAACCCTGTCTCGAAAAACAAACAAACAAAAAAAAAAAGTGAGATGACTAAGAAGATAGGACATGGGGTAGGAAGTTAAGGTCGGGGTGGGCTATAGAACCCGGAGATGAGATCATCAGGGGTGGGCTATAGAACCC